TCTTTGACAAAAATTTGTGTTAAAGAATGAGATTTGTTTGCAATGATTCAAGGATATTATTATCATAAAACATACAACAGAAAACAACTGAGGACAAAAAGACCTACTACAATTCTCCTTTCACCAACCGAATTTTTTATAAACATATTTTTCCAGCCATAAAAAGACTATTCGCTATTTCTTTCTAAGTCTGCATAAAAATACCCCTGTCAGGGGGCAATGATATGGTAAGTATGTTTATAAAAAATATTAGTGAACATATCTGTTTAATCTACCATATACCCACTCATATCTCTATATCTCTGGTGTTAAATATTAGTCCTTTCCTGTGTACTCCATGATCCCATTAACAATTACTGCGTGCCAGGCTTGGGTTTCTCATTGCACAGGCTGAAGCTCACTCTTATTGTGTGTTTAATGTGAGGGTGCTAATATATTGATTCTGTGATTTGTGTTAATTCTTTTTTCCATTTTTGTTGTTTTGTTTCCTAGTGAAGAGTTACAGATTTCCTATGGGCCTGGCCCCATCCACTTGACTCTCACTCACTGGATATCTATAAGCACTGATGAGACTCATCAGTGCTTATAGAGACTCCCTCTGTGTCTTTTCTTCTCCAGGCTGAACAGTCCCAGGTCTCAGCCTTTCCTCATAAGGGAGGTGCTCCAGGCTCCTCATCCTCTTTGTAGCCCTCTACTGGACTCTTTCCAGTAGTTCCCCGTCTTTCTTGTACTGAAGAGTCCAGAATTGGACACAGGACTCCAGACGTGACCTCACCAGGGCAGAGTAGAGGGGAATCACCTTCCTCAACGTACTGCCCACGCTCTTCTTGATGCACCCCAGAATACTGCTGACCTTGGCCACAAGGGCCAACCTATTATGCACGAGGGCACCCAGGTCCTTCTCCACAGAACTCCCTTCCAGGAGGCCATCCCCTAAATCAATATCAATGCCCGCGGCTAGTCCTCTCCATGTACTGAACTCTACACTTGTCCTTGTTGTACTTCATCAAGTTCCTTTCCACCCAGCGCTCCAGCCTGTCCAGGTCTCAATGAATGGCAGCACAACCTTCTGGCACGTCAGTCACTCCTCGCAGCTGCATATCAGCGGCAAACTTGCTGGGTGGGGGGCACTCTATCTCTTAAACCCTGATGGTCCCTGGTCCCTGATGAAGATGTTGCCATTGTACAGGTTGCTTGCTATTCCCCCATGCTTAACAGTGTAATTCACTGACTACTCTGTTTATTCATAGAGGTTAATGCCAACTTTCCATCTGATATCTTGGATCTACGGATCGCTCAAAAAAAAACCTTATCTTGTTCCAAAAATAACATAGCTATTGACTTGCCTTTGCTAGTTAGTGTCAGTATATGGCATATGTTGCCATATTCACAGAAAATAACTTGGAATAATAAAGAGAAAATGTACTTATTTCTAAGTTTCACAAGAGTTTCTACTGAACGCTGAATGAATGTTAACAATTCAGCCACTAAAAAATAATTCTGCTGGAATTTGGTACTCCAATGTCTAAAAATAAATTGGCAAACTTTTAAAGTGGGTGACTTTCTTTTTTTACTATACTATTTAGAGTATGCTCTTTTTTTTTTTTTTTTAACTTATGTGAAAAATGTATGTCTAAGAAAATTCTACCAGTTTAGGTACATCTAAGATATTATGAATGGCTGTGGGCAGCTCCATGATGGGACTATATTTAAAAGCCTCTAGTGATTGAAGAACAACATAAATGGTTGCAGGAAGACTGACTTGCCACATTAGGAGCTGTTTCACAACATTTATGCTTCAAGCTTGACTAAGAAGTTTGGAGCAGCTAGGTCTACAAATATTTACAAGGAAGAAGACCACTTGTAGAACAGGAGCCTGGAGTTGCTCCACAGAGTTCATAGGACTGGGACTATGTAAAGTCACCTTTTTGGTATCTGTTATCGCAGCCGTGCTTTGTCTGTACTGACAGTGGAACGGAGTTCTCCACTATTCATCTGCAGCTACAGGATGGCTCTAAATTGTGCATACTTGAGAAAAAAAGAAAAAGAAAAAACAGGAAAGAATCATTTGGTTCAGGAACACCGACGAATCACCAAAGTAGCTTGCTTTTTGTGCATGGCTCCTGCTTTCTCCATATACTATTGTGAATTAAGATAATAAGCAGTTTGAAACAATAGAAGGAATTCACTTCTTGAGTACTGCAGCAATCTTCAGCATGCTATTTTTTACTTAGGAATTACAGTGTGAAGTGATAAACAGGAGTTTCAGGGCCAGAATTCAAATGCAATGGTTTTTCTCTAAAGCTATCTTTTTCCAGTGCCTCCCAGAAGGCATATTGTCTTCTTTTCCAACTCTTTTACTGTAGGACAGAAGCAATAAAGCAATTAAGTACACATATGTGGTGCTAAAGGACATGATTTAGTGGAGAGTTGTTAGAGTTAGGGTAGTATGGTTAGGTCGTGGTTGGACTCAATGATCTTTTTAGGATCTCTTCCAAACTGAGTGATTCTGTGATGTACTGCAAGTGTTCAGAGAAGTGCAATGAAAGTGTGAGGGCTCTAGAGCACGAGTCTAATGGGGAGTGACTGGAGGAACTGAGATTGTTCAGTCTGGAGAAGAGGAGGCTCAGGGGAGCCCTCATCGTCCTCTACAACTGCCTGAAAGTAATCTGTGGTGAGGTGGGAGTCGGCCTCTTCTCCTGGATACAGTGACAGGAATGAAAGCTGATGGCCTCAGGATGAGCCAGGGGAGATTCAGTTTGGATATTAGGAAAAATTTCTTCCCAGAATAGTGTTGAGGTATTGGAGCAGGCTGCCCAATGGAGTCACCATCTGAAATGTGGAGAAGTGGCACTGAGGGACATGGTTTAGTGAGCATGGTGGTGATGGGTTGATGGTTGGACAAGATGATCTTAGCGGTCTTTTCCAAACTAACTATTCTATGATCCTACAGTTTTAATCAGCAAACTATCATTATATTTTCCAAAACTTTTCCAAGAGTTTATCTGACAGTCAGCCAGCCATAGCAAGAATGAAACTATACAGTTTCAAACTGAGTATCTTTCTCTGTCCTACAGGCACGGTGCCACACAGCCACAGGCAGCCAAGGCCACTCTGAGCCACACGCACGTTTCTCACAAGTTTCCCAACCAATCCCAGAGTTCGGGGAAGGCGTCAGCCCACTCCCAGTGTACTCGCTGGCAGCATGCAGCCTCTCCCTGCCTCACCTGGAGGCTGCAGCTGAGCACTGGGCCAAAACCAAAATTAAACCCAGACCCCACAGAAGAAAATGAGAAAGCCTTGTTAGGCTGTGCAGATGTTGCTGGTACTGATGTCACTGCAGAGGTCACAGCTGTAGCAGTTTTTGCTGTCTCTTGACCTGAGATTTTGTCCCTTAACCTGAGACTCTGGTTGTCCAGAGCCAAGGGATGGGCACAGGATGGGACACCAAACTGCAGGATGGTCTTCCCAAACAGAATGGATGAGTTCAGACACATTTTCAGTCGAGAAATGTCAATCTTTTCGCATCCCCTTCTGTCTTCCTCCTCTCCCTGTAGAAACGAGATGGCCCCAGAGGCCTCAGCCAGAAGATGGTTACACCTTGCCACCAAGCCTGAGATTGGCATTGACCAGGACTGGAATTGCGTAATACACATTTATATAGGTATGCGTATCCTTCAGAATGCATTCATATATACAAGAGCGCTGCTCTGAAAGTAGTGCCTCCTCTTTTATTATGTCAGCCCACAATGTCAGAGGCTTGTGTTGGTGTTATGGCAGTAGAGGCTGAACCTTCCTGCCAATATTCTGTTAGATGTTGTTGCTGTGTGACAGATGGCAGCAGAGGGACAATCTGCCAAAATGGCGTCTGACATGGAAGTGTGTATGAAACAAAGGCATACTACTGAATTCCTCCATGCAGGAAAAATGGCACCCAGTGACATTTACTGATGCTTGCTGAACGTTTATGGAGACCAAACAGTGGACGTGAGCACAGTGAGGCGGTGGGTGCTGTATTTCAGCAGTGGTGACAGCAACAGCGGATCACCTCTGCTGGTGCAGATGTTTACAAGCACAGCATGTAAGCTCCTCTTCACTGCCAGTGAAAATGCCTAGCTAGTAGTGGTGGTTGTGTAAAATACAGTGTTTTGTAGCTGAGAATTTACTGTGCTTTTTGCTACAGTTTTAGTGGAAATAAATAGGAGGCACGACTTTTGGAGCAACCTACAAAGCCAGCAATACCACCCACTCTCCAGCCATCCCGCCGCACGCCCGCACTGTGCCACGCCGGGTTTCGAACCCGCGGCTCCAGCTCCACGCCCCTCCCCGCTCCGCCGTCTCGTGACCGACGCTGCGGCGAGATCAGCTGACCCGGCGGCTCACGTGACGAGGTGGTGGTTGTGCGGGCGGCGCGCGGCTGCGGCGCGCGGCGGGGGATGGAGCAGTGACGGGTGAGCGCCGCGCGGGGCGGCTGGGAAGGAGGCCGCGGCCGGGCCCGAGCGGGGTCGCCGCCGTCTTCCTCCGGCCTCCGAAGCCGCGGCCGGGCCCAGCGGGGAGGACGGCAGCCGGCCGGGCCCGCGGCCTGCCTGCCTGCCTGCCGGCGGTGGTTGCGCTTGCGGCTCCCGCCCCCGAAGCCGGCCGCAGGCTCTGCGTGCCCGGGCTTCGGGACGGGCGGCCGCGGGGCGGCCCCTGCCTGTGCCGCTCCGCACCGAGGGGCCGCGGCTCGGAGCCTTCCCGTGCCGCCGCGGCTCCTGCCTGCGGTGCTCGGCGCTGAGGGCCGCGCGCCGGGCGTCGGCCGTGAGTTGTGGGAAGGGGCGCGGAGAAGCGACGCGGCGGGGCTCGGGGCTGCCGGGCGGCCTGAGCGCTTCTGGGGGAGGCCTGCGCCGAACGGGAAATACGGTGCCTTCGCTTCCCTCTCCAGCGTCGTTCTTGAGAAACGCAGCGCGAATTCTGTTCTGACATGGCCGCGTGTGTTCCCGTCGTTGAGGTGTGCGTTCGGGGGCTTTGTTGCCGACGTTGGAGCCGCTTTTATTGGAAATCCATTCCGAACAGAAATTAAGCAATCTCAATTACAAGTAGCAACGTGAGAAACATTAAAAATGCCATATCTAGCTGATGTCAGCTACTGAAGCAGCTGGGGTTCAAAGCTGATACTCTGGAAGAAAACTTAAGGGAAAAGGTGTACTTCAGGAGTATTTTAGAGATGTGCTGTGCTTATTTGACGGGCAGAGCATCCTGGCAGCGTGGTTATGTTACCTGGACCTCTTTACAGTGGCATATGGAAGGCTTTATTACCCGTCAGAGTCCTGCTGCAGGCATGGTTAGGTGAAGGCATCGAGGAATTCACAGAGTGCTGTGAATCTGAACTGAGAGAAGTGTGTTCTCATGGATTTATGGTGTTATGGCCTTACAAGTGAGAACTGCATTCTTTGTGAGTGCTAGGCAAGGTGCGGTCAGGTCAGTGTTACTGATCTTGCAAGATAGAGTTATTTTATTTTTGTGAACTTTTAAGATACCGACGCTCCAGTTGATCAGTATGGGAGTAGGAATTTCGTGACCTGCAGTATTGTAAGAATTGCTGTCACAGCTCAGTGCTGTGTGTAAACTAAGAGAGGGGAGATTTACTTTAGATGTTAGGAGAAATTTTTTACTCAGAGGGAGATGAGACGCTGGCACAGCTGTCCAGAGAAGTTGTGGATGCCCCATGCCTGAAGGTGTTCAAGGCTAGGTTGGATGGGGCCCTGGGCAGCCTGAGTTGGGGACTGGCAACACCAGGGAGCTGGAACTGGATGGACTTTAAGATCTCTTCCATCCCAAGACATTGTGTGAAAAAGCCGGAACTCCAGAACCTGTTCTCAGAACTTCTATTTAACTCCAGCTTCTGAGCTTTGGTTCACTGTGGTCTATAGAGAAATTTTTGAATAAACTTTCTTATGTTCCTGACTTAATGAGTTATTAAGACTTTTTTTTCCCCAGCTGTATAGCAAACACTTCTTGCTGAGTTGGCCAGAAGGTACAGTGACATCTCAAAAAGTCTTCCATTTCTTGACAAGTAGTTTTATCCGTACTCAGTAGAATTAGGACCGTGATTCCTACTTGCTTCGAATCACAGTGGCTGTAGTACTGAATTAACGGTGTCAAGAAGACTTGAAAGTTTGATTAAATGTGTTGGTGCATTGAGTGCTCTAAGCTGATACATTTGTGTGGTGGACAGTTCCATTTAGGAATGCAGTTATCTGTTTATAAATGTTTCTGCTTTTTATGGGTGTGCCTTGGAAATAATAGGAATAGCAAAAAATAGCTGACAGTAATTAGGTGAGACAGTACTATGACAGCTTGCACTCTGTGGTGGTATGTCACAGAGCAGTGCCAGTCATGGAGGTATGAGTTGTAAGTTAAAGTTCTCATCAGCTCTTATTGCTCTTTCTCAGTTTTGTACTTGCTGGATCCTCGGCTTTTCCCTGAGATTGTTGTTCCAAAACATGAAAGCAGACAAGTTTGGTAAATTTTGCCCGGAATGATCTCAGGGCTTCCAGTTAGCAGACTCCAGTTGACCTAAAGAGAGAATAAATTCACTACAGCAGTGGATCTCAAGGAAGGTTTTATATATGTAATTATACATGCGTGTATACATATATGCGCCATTATTTGCAGTTCTAAGGAGTAAAATAATAATTTACTTAAAAAAAAAAAAAAAAAAAGCTGTCTACATGCTTGCATGATCTGAGCACTTGGTATTTCCTGCTTTATTCTCTGGTGCTCTTTAAGTGTAGCAGCACTTCTCCTTTTTCCAGTTCTTGTTTGTTGTTCCCTAGTTCTGATTGCAAATTCCATCTTCCTTACATTGCACAAACATGGGAGCAAGCACGTAAAATTCTGTGAAGCTTCTCTGCCTTGTGTTTATTTGGAAGTATTTCTGGCCCCATAAAAAAGCCCCATTGTTCAGACTAGTCTGTGTAACTGACTGGAATAGTGCCAAGCTGTCAGTCTTTCACCCACGTCAGATAATCCTCTGCTCTGCTGAGGTGGCTGGGATGGGGAACAGGCTGTTAGAAGTGGAGCGGTGCTTCAGGAATGGCAGTCATGCAGAGAACAGTGGAAGGGAGAAGCATTACCCAGCTCTGTGGTTACTGGGAGCTATAGCTGCTCCACAGCTGCTCCTCTTGCCACAGCTGTTCAACTCAGTAGTCAAGATCAATTCATTTTCCCTTCAGGTATTAAAGAATTATGAAGTTGTTTTTAACTTTGTAGTAGACTTGTCTTGATTTAAAATTGAAATGGTTTATCTTTGAAGACCATCTTTAAAAGGCTGAAAAGCTAATTGAAGAAATCATTCTTTGCAATGGATCTGTTAACATCTCTTCCCAGAAAAAAAATCACCTAGATTTTTGACAGTGAAGTGTTTTTCTTTTTCAGTCTATAACATGATGAGTGAGACAGACTCATGGTGAACATGTAACTGTTTCCTTAGGTGATGTGATCTGTGGAAACTTTAAACATTTTCCTTAAGATCTATTTATTTTTAGTGGAAAACTTGAGAATGCAGTATTCCATCTGTTTTGCTGAACAAAAGCCTTGGGCTTCTGTGTTACGGCTCTTCTGCCTTCTACAAGTGCTTTGCTGCTGCTGCCATTTGAACTAGTTCCTCTTGTTTATCCTCTTATTTATTCGTTCCAAAGCTTCTTCAAGTCCTGGTGTAGCCAACTCCCAACAAAAGCCAATCTAAAGTTTAAACACTTGAGTGCACGTGTAAGCTGCAATGATGTTTCCTTGTTGGATGAAGTTGACTGTAAACTCGATGGTGTTTTTATAGGGTCAGTGTTCATTGAAGCATGAGGATAAGTAAAGTGCCATGTATTCACTAAGTTTGGCGTGTGTTAGGCAAGATAATGCATCTAAGTGATCAAAATAAGAAAAAATTTTCTCCCATTCCAAAGTGTTGATTGTAGACCTCCCGTGGAAGCTCATTAGTACAGTTAGTGTTTCCCTAAACAATCCCCTTAAGATAATTTGTGTTTAATACATGTACTGTCTTGAATAGTATTAGTGTGATCTTATTGAAGGTGCGTGATGAGAGCAGGGGTACCAAGGGTAAAAGAGCTCTCCTTCATGTTGAAATGAGTGTCCACATTATAGGGTAATATGTTCATAGAATCACAGAATGATTTGGGCTGGAAGGGACCTTTAAGATCATCTAGTTCCAACTCCCTGCTGTAGGCAGGGACACCTCCCATCAGACCAGGTTGCTCACAGCCCCGTGCAGTCTGGCCTTGAGCGCCTCCAGGAGGGGACATTCACAGCCTCTCTTGGCAACCTGTTCCAGTGTCTCACCGCCCTCACAGTAAAGAATTTCTTCCTAATATCTAGTCTAAATCTGCCCTCTTCCAGTTTGCAGCCATTTCCCCTCATCCTGTTGCTACACGCCCTTATACAGTGCCTCCCCAGCTTTCCTGCAGCCACCCTTCACGTACTGGAAGGGCGGCTATAAGGTCTCCTCAGAGCCTTCTCTTCTCCAGACTGAGGTGCCCCAGCTCACTGGGTTACTGGGTCTATTTTCAGTTGGATTGCATGTGATCTTTTGTAGGAGTTGCAGATGTTAATGTTGCAAACTCAGTCTTTAATGCGTGGGTTGGGCGGTTTAAAAAGACTGCAACTGTGCAAATGTGCAAGACAGTAAAAGAATTTCTGTAAGACAGGAAAAGAATATGGAACCAGGTGAATAATGTCAGTAGAATCTCATCTGGTGGGTAGGGCTGCACTATGGTTACATGAAACAAGAGGTTTTTCTTCAGGCAGAGCTTTAAATCTGGAACTAATGGCAGATATTCTATCTCTCCCAAACCTCTCATTTTTTCCTGCCAGCATCTTGACTCTGTCTTCAGAAGCAGAAGCATCACGATAGAGACACAAAGATGACTGAGTTTTGGCTGATTTCAGCTCCTGGGGAAAAAACCTGTCAGCAGACATGGGAGAAACTACATGCAGCAACTACAAAAAATAACAATCTCTCTACTAATTCCAAATTCAATATTCCAGACCTGAAGGTAAGTAAGCTCCCCATCACATACAGGAAGTACATTTGTTTCATAGTTTGTTTGCTTTTTTTTCTAAAACTGTAGGTGATGAATACTTGGAACCTTTATAGAAAAATAAATGGCTGATGTCTCTTGGAGCATGAGTGGATCCAAAAAATTAATTTAGACAATTGATTATCTTTTTATCTGGAAGTCTAAGATGAAAATTCTTCACTCTGTAAGTTTTAAATGCTCAGCAAGCTGTTCTTTCAGAGAATACAGTGTTTTTCCAGGAAAAGCAGTCTTGATCTCATACTGCCAGCAGTTAGCCAGAGAAGAAAATTAACTTTGGAAATTAAGGTACAAATGGAGACCTGTGATTTGAGTGTTTAGTTGAGTTTTCTTTGATTTTTTTTCACTTCTGAGTTGTCTTTTCTGACTGAGATGTGATGAAATGGGTCGATTTAAAATAGGGGAAACACAGCTGCTATCTTTATGTTCAGAAATAGCATTCTTCAGGTAGAGTAGTGATTACCTCCAGCTGAGTGTGAGTTCCAGCGTGACCTGCCAGTGTGTTACAGAGAAGAGGAAGAACACTTTTTCAACTATTTCTGCAAGAAGGAAAGAGGATTGTTCCTCTAAAAGCATGTTTCTCTTGGTTAACTACTATTAGCAGGAATGAGAAAGGGTAGGAAGACAGCGTATTAAAGAAAAGGTCTACCTAACACCTGAGTGCTTCTTGAACAAAAAGAATGGTAAGCTCAGTTTAACTTCTTAGAACTGTAAGACTAGCAGAAATGAAGGGGAAAAATGTCACCCCTATGTATCTGTATACAAAATGTTTCAAGTGGGGTGATGTTTCATTCTGTCTCCACTAGGGAATGGGCCCAGAGCACCCAGTGCTTTACTGCCTCTTTTAAGAGAATCTTCCATTTGCCAGGTTAACGTTCGCTTTTAGACCATCCTGAGTTATTTCAGAATATGTATTAGTAGAGGAATGATGAGGGCCTTTGGCAGATGTCAGTCTCCTCCCCAGAGGAGGTAAGGTGCCTTGGGAGGTGAGTCAGGATGACATCTAACTTATCAGCTGCCAATGGTATTTAGAAGAGTTAATGCTAAAAACTTGTGGCCATTACGGCTATTAACATTTGTTTTCATTTCTCCTCTTGCATTTCCTATGAACTAAAATTATTCTGCTTCTGCCCCTTCTGAGAATATACTTTATGTACAGTGGGACATAATCTGGCTTCTGTGTGTCTAGTAAAAGCATGTTAGAAGTGACATCCTTTAGTGAATGCTTGTTATTGGAAGCAGTCTCCACTGAACAGCAGCCATATTACTCAAGGACTTATTTATCCTGTGTCCCGTAAATGAGTACTCAAGACATTAGCTTCCTTATTCTTGTCTGTAGCTCAGAAGAAGGCGAGTCTGGGAAAGATTTTATGACATTGCTTAAGTAGTTGTTTCCTTTTCTGCTTCAAGGCTGAAGAAAACAAGAATTGGGCCAAGATGAGTAGTCAAATCTATGAATGGAATAAAGATACTAAATTGAAAAAAAGATACTATCATCATCACTAGATGGAAGATTTGATTTCTGCATAATAATAGTCTAGCAAGAAACATAAGCGAGTAACTGAAATTTTGGAGTTTGAGAGTCATCTTTTTGGAGATAGCTCCTATTTTCATTGAACAGAATGAATAAATGTGTCAGTGCTTGAAGCAATCCAAAGAAACTCTTATAATGTGACCAACTCAAATCAAAATCTCTATTTGGCTGTTAAACTTGAGCATTACAGTGTTTTTTTTTTTTTGTATCTTAAACCCGTTTGAGATTTGTGTAAGGATAAACTAAATCATGGAATACTTAACTACTGTGCTGTAATCTTCATGCTTAAATTATACTCAGTCTAAAATAGTCATCCCTGACCCTAAAAGGTATATCTATTTCTCTAGATTATTGTATGAGGTTTGGGAAGAAAGTAAAAGCTTGTAGACAATCTAAAAATATTTCATTACTCTGGATACAGAAAGTCTTAGATTCTTGTTGGCCAGACTGCTACAGAACTATTGAATCTTCTGCATGTTTGAAGTTCTGGTTGCTTCTAGCACAAAGATATCCAATTACAGAAATTTCAGACTTGATCTAAAGTAGTAAATAAAATGCTAATATGGAAAATGCAGCCAATTCATAATATAAAAGTTGGTTTAATATGCTTTGCAAGGCTAGAATGCTGGAACAATGTGCCAGGCTAGAGCGATTAGATCTAGTGCTGCTAAACTTTAGGGATATCTTAGGTAAGCAGAAGAAAGTGTGGCTTTCTTAGATTAACAAGTCTGAAATATTGGAGTACTGTATTTTATGTAGTTCTGCAAAGCTGCCTGTTGAGGAGATTTGGCTTTTATTGTCATCTGGTTTTTATCTTTTCAGGCTTTCATACAGGTGCTAACACATTGTGATCTTTCCTTCTAGGTTGGCACGCTGGATGTTTTGGTTGGTCTGTCAGATGAACTGGCTAAGCTGGATGCATTTGTGGAGAGGTAACATTTTATTTTTACTAACATGCAAAATATTAGAGCAGTATTGACACTTTACCAATCCATAATGATGCATGGATTGTTTTCATCTTTTTTGTTTTCATGTTGATCTTCTTAGCTTACTGAAACTTAGTTTGTTGACTCCCCATGGAAGATGCTTTTTCTTCTAGTATCTGTACTTGAGGCAGGGAGGAGGGATGGAAGAATCCAAACTTCTTGTGGATAATGGGACACGATGTATGGATGAAGGATGGTTCTCCCTGTAATAGTGCTGTATGTTGCCAGATCCTGGAGAACTGTTAAGAATTGAACCTGACGGCTGCAGGAAATGACAGTGAAATGGAATAAAATGTGTTCTTCTAGTATAATAGAATGCTGTTTACAGGCTTCAGGAAGGTTCCTAACCTGCAGAGATGATTAAACAACATTACGTCTTAAAACTGTACATTTTGAAGAAATTAATGGTCCTTTGAAAGTGATTTTGAGCAAATGTAACAAAAATTTACATAGCCAGAATTTGTGGAGCCATCTTCTGTTTCAAGGAGAGAATTATTAAGTAGTTACGTTAGAGTACTCAGTTGTTGCCAGCATGGCATGTGTCAGTAATAGTGAACTATTTTCTAGTGGAGAAAGCAGTTCTTGTGCCTCAGATTTCATGAGGCTTAGGGCTGGAATTTCTCTGTACTTCTTCAGTTATCTTTGGTATCTTGTCTCATTTGCCTTGTGTTCAATTTTTATTAGTTATGTCTTCTACCTCACAATCTATTATGAGAGAGGAGGTAGGATTTTGAAATTACAGACTTATGGAGAGTAGCAGAAAGTAATGTCACCTTGTTGAGAACTGATGAATTGCAACACTAGAAAAGGATTTTTAAAGAATTCTGACATGTATTTGTGATACTGAGCACAATTTTTGCTCTTGGAAAGCTTATACGTAAAACAGTTAACACTTTGTTTTTGATCCAGTCTCCTAATTCTTTTCCCAGGCAATTTCAGGTGAGTTCTCAGAACAGTGTTTATCAAAATGGCAATTTTTTCCCTCTATTTATAGCTTAATCTTTTGTTTTTCAGTGTTGTGAAAAAGGTGGCCCAGTATATGGCTGATGTTTTAGAAGACAGTAAAGATAAAGTTCAGGAAAATCTTCTGGCTAATGGAGGTAAAGTGTTAACAATAACATGTGCATTGTAAAAGGAGTGGGAGGGAAGGAGGTGATCCAGAAACATATTTACTGCTGCTTCTCTTTGATGGTCTGAAAGCCTAGTTTAGGCATGGAAGTAAGTTTTCCTGTGAGCTGTTTGCCATGGTAGAAATGATAGGATTCAAAAGGGCAAGTAATTATAGATCTGCATATGAAATATTCACATTCCGAGGCCCTTTGATCCTTTGGGGCTGTCATCACTAGTCTCTGAAGGAATGTAAAGGTTGCTGATCATTGTAGACACTATTGTCTGTCTTAAAGTCCTTCTTTATCGCTTTAGTTGACTTGGTCACATATATAACAAGGTTCCAGTGGGATATGGCCAAATATCCGATAAAGCAATCATTGAAGAATATTTCAGAAATTATTGCAAAGGTAAGATCATTTGTTTTATAAAACTTAATTGACCTTTTGTTATTTTATGCACAATGTGATGCTCAGAGCTTGTTTCTAGTTTGCCAGCTTCGTTTAACTTTGAGAGTAGTAGCAAACCTGTAATAGTGCTTAGTGTTGTAGTAACCAAAGAAGTAATTCAGGATGGGGACAGAAACTGGAGACTATGCTCACTGAAGGCCACAAGCTGTCTCTGCTGGTTTTATTTCCTAAGAAAATGAATTTAACAAATAGCTAGCAAACTATTTCACTTGCTGTCTAATTTTTGCTGTACTAGCTTTACACTTGTCTGATGTTATCAAACATTGTGAGCTATTAACACTGAAATCACAGTATTTATTTACTTTCTGGAAGCTATGGTGCCCAGCTGTGAGGGGAAAACTAAGTCTTCAATGTAAGGAAAGCTCATCTCGTTGTGGTTGTTTTCTTTCTCTCTCTTCATGCTGATAAAGTGTTCATAATGTTACAGATTTCATTTATACTTGTTGTGAGCATGGATAATAAGATCTTGAGTACCAAGTTACTGCATTAGAGTGGTGAAAGAGTTCTGTGTGAGCTATTCTTGCTTTAAATATCTTCTGAGCTTTTCCAGCTTCTTTTCTGTGTTTTGTGATTTTCAAACAGCTCTGGAGATATTTGCATCAGTAAGATACGTAACCAAGAATAAAAGTGCAGCAGCTGCTCAGGATACCTTTGAGAGAGTCTTTGGTGTTGGATACATGGATACAAGAACTGGGAGGAGTTGCATGTCAGTTCTGGCAAACTGATGCTGTGCACTGACTGCAGATTCCATTTGCAAGTTTCTTTCCTGAAACTATTTAAAATTTTTGCCGAGACTATAAAGTCTTAGTTACATTCTCAGTCATCGTTATTAACACTTTACCTTTGATATATTCTTTGTGGCTATCGCTGCATCCTGAATTTACACCTGAAATTATGTTCAGTAATGATTCCTGGAAAACATCTGCAGTGTGGTGTTATGTTGTGGGAATAAGGACTGAATTATGACATTAAGATTTACATATTAAAATATCCCACACATTTAGAATGTGATACTATCGAAGAACCTGAGTGCTTGCTTCTTTACAAGCAGTGGAGTGTTTCATTTTCATACCTTAGCAGGTACTTGAGAGAACAGGTATGAAGTTCAACTCGGGAGAAGAGAAGTGTGGTAAAAGAGGAGTAGGGGGAACATAAGATGGGATGAAGCATTTTCTACAGCTTTTATCAAGAAAGTGGTTCTTGAAGTTTCTTACCTTTAGTTTGGCCATGGAATACAAGTGAAAGCTACTGAATTAATAAATAAAGAGAGACTTGAACTGAATTTTCTCTAAATTTTGGAACTTACATGTTGTGGTGAAGAACTCGTTGTTGACAACGAACTTGAAGGGATGATACCGTTTGTTGGCATATTATCAAGGATTCAGTACATATTTTTCTGTGTCCTAGAGTTTGATAGATAAATTATCTGCTTGCAACAAAGCTGGGCTCCAGAACCTGGACTTCAAATATAACTCTTTTGTTTTCTTCACCATCTAGTTTAAGCACCTCACTGAGTTATTATGCTGCACAGTGAATGCGGAGAAAAACATCTGCTCATCTGTTAGAGTTCAGCCTGAAATCAGCATCTTTAGGTTGCTTTTTCTCTGAATGATTTTCTTAATAACTCCTTGATAACTGCTATAGCAGTACCGTGAGTCTACCTTTCTTATTTGCAGTGACATTCATGAACTTTCTCGTTCTTTACTGAGAGTGGTGAGGTACTGGAACAGGCTGCCCAGAGAGGTTGTGGATGCCCTGTCCCTGGAGGTGTTGAAGGCCAGGTTGGATGGGGCCCTGGGCAGCCTGGTCTAGTATTAAATGGCCCTGCATGTGAAGGGGGGTTGGAGCTTCATGATCCTTAAGGTCCCTTCCAACCCTGGCCATTCTGTGATTCTATGAATTCTTACAGCAAGACAAAGTTCGAAATGTGACTCTTCCAGTGTTACGCTCAAGTGTATTTTCAGGAGTCCCACTGCAACATTGAGGTTGCAGCTCTGCTTTTTCTGGTAGTTCAGAAGGAAGCAAAACTGATTCTTATTTATGGTAAACTCCAGTCAGTGCAAGTTTTCTTTTAAAAGACTACTGACTTTACAACTGAGAGCGGTTAAAGGATGGACAACTATAAGATAATGAATGGATCTACTTCATAAACAAGTTTGGTATCAGCTGTTTTTGATTTGTCATTAAGCAATGTGCATTTCAACAGTTCTTGAAAGTTCTGATTGTTGAAAAGTGAAAGTGGGAGGCTGCCAGTCTGGGAAGATATCCAAATGCACCTGCTTCATAATATCTCATGCTTTTTTCCTAATGCTGGCTTCTTGCTGTAAACATGTTAGTGCTGTTTCTTCTGGTATAAAAAAGTTGTGACAAAGAGATGTGCTTTGATGGCTGCCAGAATGTTCCTCATACTTGATTAAAGGTGACATCAGTCAAAGGATCTGAGTAACTATAAAGACTGATATGAGAGCAAACTCTCTTATCTCTTATTATTATTAAACACTCTTATTTCAGAGTATTTTGTCTAAAGCATTGCTGTATATCTGCAGAGGTGCGAGCTGTTCACCTGTTGCTGAATGAAACTGCCAGGGTGTCGATGCTTTCAACAGCTTCTTCTTGGTACAGATGATCGAACCTGTGTTACCATAAACAAGGTTGCTATAGAACAAAGTGACATACTTTTAAGAGACTTATTTTGTACAAATGAAGTTTGAGTCCCCAAGCTGAAGTGCTGTTTGTAGTATGCTGAAGTGCTGCATGCAGGCAGATGTTTTGTCAACAGTCTGGGTGCAAATGAAAGGAGAGGCTCTTAGCTTTGTGTTCAGATACATGCCCCTAGCACTTCTCATATGCTTGTTCCTATGTACTGTGCTGGAGGGAGTGGAGGAGGGAGTAGGCAGTGGTATGAAGCCAAAGCAGTACTTCTCCAAGTTCTTACAGTTATCCGACTTCACTAAGCAAACTTGAAATATTTTACTGCGTAGGGTAGGTGCTGATTGAAGTATGACTGGATGCTTACAAACTACTCACCGCTTAATTTGTTTTGTTCCACAGCTTGCTGCCAGATTACCCGATTGGGTCACTAGTATTTGCTTAGACAAATGTTTGAAGTAAACTGGGTTTGTCTGAAATACCGTTCATCTGTCTACCCTGAAGCTGGACCTGGGCAGCTTCAGGCATTCCAAAGTATATAAGCTCTTATTAAACGTAGAAAATATCTGTAAAACAGGCTTTCCTTTATGTCTGTAAGCCAATGCCAATATATAAAATTGCAGCATAGAAATTCATGAAGGGAAGTGATGATATGATTATTGTATATTTCTTTGAAAAATATGGAAAATGGGAAATAAATGATTGGGGGAAAAAGTGGTAACATATAAAGCCGTAAGTAGTAATGGCCACTGGGAGTCAGGTATGTGAAACATTTTGTTGATGCTCTATCTTTTTGAATGAACGAGGCTGTTCTTCTCAAAGAGAAGTACAAGTAAAAACATGCATTGAGCAGATATAGTCTCTTAAGTTGTAGGTGATGTGAAGCATTAGTGCTTTGTGTTACTTAATTCTTGCTTTCCTACTTATAAGACTGTACTGTCATTCATGTCATTAAAACTCTAACGGGAGAAAAGTGTAAGAATAGAGGAAGCAGAGGAAGGAAATGATGCTCAGCATTTGCCAGTAAGCTTGTGTTACCGTGTGAAGGTGATCTTAAATGCTCTGTCTGCTGAGCTTGAGAGTGGTAACACAGTAAGTGGGTGGAGTACTGATCAGCTGGGTGCAGTAGCATGTCCAGTTGACACCACTAACCCAGAAGAGGATGTGTAATTCTTACTGTTGGCTCATTTTCTTTCATAGATATTATAACCGAAAATATCCTGAGTTTCAAGTGAAGCTTGTTAAGTCCTAGAGAAATAAGCATTTTATCTTGTGTGTTTTTTCATCAAGCTCTTTCTGGCAGATAAAAGATCTATGTTTTGAAATTCAGAAATTGTTTGTTTTTTTTTTTAAATCAGTCTCTGAGTCACTTTTTAATTTAATCTTTAAGGGAGTAAACCAGATTGACAATGATCTTAAAGCAAGAGCCTCGGCATACAATAACCTAAAAGGGAACCTTCAGAATTTGGAAAGAAAGAATGCGTAAGTCGTATCTGTTGTTCGTTGCTGATATGTGAAGAGGTTGTGGCTCTAAGCTTAATGTGTTTTTGAGGCGTTTGTCAATCTTGAACAATGGATGTCACAGGACAATATTTATTACCAGCTGACTTGCTGGTAACAGCTCACTTGTGATTGACAGTGCTTGTGAAATAATCCAAAAGCGTGTATAAATTACTGATGCCTTTGGGAGAAATTTGCTGTTAAAGTGGTGTGTTACACCGCTGTATTGATGTCTAGCTAAACAAAGAAGACTTTCCCCTTAATCCAGTTCTTGCTGTAAGCATCTCAATGTCACTGGGTTTCTTCCATCAAAATTAACAAGCAGAGGGACAGGTGTTTCATAAATGCAAGTAAGAGTGCAATAAAAAGAGCTGCATGCTGCCCTGTCAGGTACATGTGATTATTCAAATACAGTCAAGATACAGTACTTCTGTCTAAGTATGGTAGATTAATTTGACTTAGCTCTGTCATTAGTGTTAATGATTGTTTTATGAGTGAGCTATAAATGCCTTCTTGAGCCATAGTAATTTGTCAGCTAAGTCTCATAATATCTGTGTAGGTTCTTATTCCTTAGTGAATAGGGCAATATGCCACTGCTTTAAATTTTCACTGAGGTTCTGAGTGTAGGTCTGCAGTAGCTTAGTTCTAACTCTGAAGCCCCATATAACAAATTTCATAGAGAATTAATGGTTCTTGTGGTTTTAAATCCCTCTTTAAAAGAGAATTTGGCTTCCTAAGTCTGTGACGTGTTTGGAATGTAGAAATGCCACACAGCAGTGGAGCTACTGATCTAAAAAAAACAAAACAAAACAAAACCAAAAAACAAAGAAACAAAAAAAACTTCCAGTGACTTCAGACAGTAAGCCATAATGTTCATATAGGAACTTTTGGTTTGTTCTGCTACTAATGAATGCTTAAGTGAAATATTTTTGAAAAATGTGTATACTACCAGACACTAGAAACTATTGTGAATACCAGCTCAGTTTTCAAACGTGCATTTACTGTGGTTGTCTTTATTTCTCTACAGAGGAAGCTTGCTAACCAGAAGTCTTGCTGATATTGTCAAGAAAGAGGACTTTGTACTTGATTCAGAATATTTGGTCACGTTATTAGTGATTGTACCAAAGTAAGTTTGTTTAACTGAAGAGCAGAAGAAAATAATAAATTTTAATCAAGCAATAGATCCCACTCTATCCCAGCTCTATTACACTGTAAGAGAGGATGTCTGAAATTGCTTTGTATCTTCCTGGATCTACTTATGAAAACATTTGGATGCCTATAGCAAATGAGCCCATGTGCATATATTCCATTGTTCATAGGAATGCTGGGTTCTCATGATTTTGTTTTAAGAAACTGAAGATTGTACTTCTTCTGTTTCTTATCTGACATCATGCTGTGGAAGGTATCCTAATGAAAATAATAATTGCAGAGTAAAAACATGAGTTCTTTTCTGTAAGGTGGCTTAATGATTGAATTATCCAGATTAACTCTATGCTGGCTTTCACAACTTAATGAACCAAGTAAACTCTTTGCAACTTTACTCTGCGCTCTTTCAGGTAGGTAGGACATTGCTTTTGTACTTAGTAAATAAAACAGGATTGCATTGGTAAAGACTTATGTAGTGTCTAAGGTTTTCTGGGAACAGGTTGTTCCTAATCCAAATTGACAATAGATCTGAAATAACAGGAAAAAAAAATTAGCCCTTTATCCGAGGCAAAGTGGTAATACATATATCTTTAAAACTTGTGAAACGAGAAAATAGCTGTGCTCTGGACAGGCAGTTCTTTTTCTTTGCAGCACTAGACTGTTTTCCTGGAGCTGGGAACAAGGAGAGTTTCTAACTTGTAAAGACAGCATGTAAGGCTGTTCATCACATGAGATAGTAGTCTCTCACTTGTGAAACTTCAACAGCAAAACAGGTCCAGTGGTTTTGCAGAGAACTGTTAGTTGGTTTACCTTGTTGGTTATTTTTCTTTTACCTTTGACTTGTTTTTGGTGTTAAAAGGCAGAGCTACAGAAAGGCAGAGATGTCCAAATTCTCCAGAGTATTTTAGGCAGTTGCAGTGATCTGTAATTGCAGAAGGAGGATTCCCTTTAGCTCAGAAGAACAGAGTTGTGAACAAAGTTTGATAAACCGCGACAGTTAAGTCCATTTGATCCTCTGAGATTTATGCTGAAGGATGATTGATTTCATTGTTCCTTGATTTTAAAACAATCATATGCTTGTCAATTTATACAAAAACTGAAGGGAAAATATATTTCTCACTTTTTTCAGTGTAGCTTATTTAGCAATAGTTGTAAGAATTGTAAGGGTAAAACTGTTGTGTATTTCTGACAGCCTACAGCTGAGTTGGAAGATGTAATGATTAAATTTGTTTTGAAAAACTTTTTCAATCTGGATTTTTTCTACAATAATAATCATAACCTGTGTATTTTCTAGGGTAAATTATAATGACTGGGTTAAGCAATATGAAACGTTAGCAGAGATGGTTGTTCCACGTTCCAGCAAGTAAGTCATCAGTATGAAATCTCATGTGCTTGTATTTTACATGGTGATCTTTATCTGTAGTGACTTCGGTTAGTCTAAAACTTGTCAAAAATGTCTAGCTATGCAGCTTGCTCTGAGTCAATCAGGCTTGGTGTGGTTGAAGAAAAATTTTAAAAATCTGTCTCCTTATAGGGTTAATGAGCTATCAAACTCCTCACTTATGTGGGAAGGGTGAGTCAATCTAGTTCAGCTCAGGCATATTTTGATACACTTTGAAAACTGCTAAAAAAAAATCAAGAACCAGAGGTGTAGACTTTGATCCACTGTGCATACAAATAAGTCACTTCTTGTGTGCTAGTGAGGGTCCCCACTGCTAGACTGTTGTGTGTAATGGAAAAAACTAAGGCCAGGATTGGGTTGATGTTGTTAAGCAACTTTCATAACCTTATTACCATATCAAAAATACAGTCAAATTGTAGGAGGAAGCATTGCTGTGTTAATTTGAATTGACAGATTTGGGTTTTGATCAGGCAAATCTGATATTACCAGCTCTGTGCCAGTTAAAAAAATCTGAACTTGCTCAGCCGAACTTCACGTTTGGGTTGGATCAATGTCAGCCTAGTAGGAAATCTGCTGATGATTCTGAAGTAATTATGGGAAGCCATCACCTAGAGATGTATTGAGAAGAGGTTAAATCATTGTGTAATGCTTGTATTGAAGACAGTACAACAATGAAGAACAATTTCCTCAAACTTTTTTATCAAAGCGAACTCTCAAAATAAGCATTATTATATTGACTTGGACAGACTGGAGAGTTGATAGAATGCTTAGAGTTAGAAGGGACCTTTTAAGGTCATCTGCAAGAAGCAGGGACACCTACAGATAGGTAATGTTACTCAGAGTTTGGTCCAGCCTGGTCTTGAAAGTCATCAGGGGTGTGGCATCCACATCTCTGGGCAACCTGTTCTAGTGCCTCACCATCCTCACTGTAAAAGACTTTTTCCTGATTTCCAACTGTATCTCCCCTCTTTAAGCTTGAAGCCATTTCCCATTGTTCTGTCACTGCAGACCCTTGTGGCAATGGTCCTGTCGCCCAGTCTCCTTCTTTCCTATAGCTCCCCTTTAGATACTGAAATGCTGCTATCAGCTCAACTTGGGTCTTCTCTGGGATGAACAGCCCCAGCTCTTTCAGCCTGCCCAGAGAGGTGTTCCATCCTTTAGATCATCTTTGTAACCCTCCTCTGGACGCATCCCAACAAGTCTATGCCTCTCCTGTACTGAGGGCTCCACATCTGGATGCAGTACTCCAGGTGAGGTCTCACCAATGCAGAGTAGAGAGGCAGGATCACCTCCCTCGACCTGCTGGCTGTGCTGCTTTGGGTGCCATCCAGGGATATGGTTGACTTTCTGGGCTGCAAGGGCACGTTGTTTGCTCATGTCCAGCTTTCCATCCATCAGTACCCCCCAGGTCCTTTGCAGCAGGGAGGAACCTGATGAGGTTGAATAAGAACAAGTGTAGAGTCTTGCACCTCTGAAGGAATAACTGTATGCACCAATACAGGTTATGGGCCGACCTGCTGGAGAGGAGCTCTGTTGAAAAGGACCTGATTGTTATTGTTGACAACAGGTTGACCATGAGGCAGCAGTGTGCCCTTGTGGCCAAGAATGCCAGTGGTACCTAGGGACACGTTAAAAGGAGCGTGGCCAGCAGGTCAAGAGAGGTGATCCTCCCCTTCCACTCTGCCCTGATGAGGCCACATTTAGACTACTGTGTTTATTTCAGGGTTCCCCAGTTCAAAAAGACAGAGATGTTCTAGGAGGAGTCCAGTAGAGGGCCGCAAGGATGATAAAGGACCTGGAGCATCTCCCATGTAAAGAAAGGCAGAGGGACCTGAGTCTGTTCAGCCTGGGGAAAAGAAGACTGAGAGGGAATCTGATAAATGTTTATAAATCTCTGAAGAGAGGTGGGAGACAAACGGATGAGGCCAGGCTCTTCTCAGTGGTACGTGGTAGTAGGACAAGGAGCAGTGACGTCAAACTTGAACATAAGTTCCATACAAACATGCAGAAGAACTTTATGGTAAGAGTGTTGGAACAGGCTGCCCAGAGAGGTTGTGGAGTCTCGTTCTATGGAGATATTCAAGACTCATCTGGTTACCTGTCTGTGTGATCTGTTGTAAGGGTACTCTTCAGCAGGGGCATTGGACTCGATGATCTCTTGATGTCTATTCCAACCTCTATGATTCTGTGAAAGTATAAAATAGTAAATCTGGGCATCTTCTTTAAAAAACTCTTATTAACACCAGCTTCCTTATTCCCTTCTTCTTTAGAACATGTGTTTAAGAATTCTGTAGTCTAAACTCTTCAGCATTAAGTCAAATCTAGTTCCTTTTCAAGTAAAATGATTTTAATTTGAACCAATCCCTAGGCATGTATGATGTGTTTCTGTGTGGTAAAGTGTCACTCTTTACAAAGGAAATAATTAATAGTGGTTGCTAAAGCTTTTGTTACTTTCTATAGAGAGTGTTTAATTTGGGAACTCATCCCATGTGACTATTTACAATTATGTTCCTGCCTAAGTAGCAATAAAGTACAACTTAAACCATTGTATTTCAGGTCTTTAATGACTTGAACCTTAATTCTAACTTTATTTTTCTGTGTAGTGTACTCTTTGAGGATCAGGACAGTTACCTTTGTAATGTCACCTTGTTCAGGAAGGCAGTGGATGACTTCAAGCATAAAGCCAGAGAATACAAGTGAGTCTTATTTTTGTGTGTTCTCTTGTGCTTTGAAGCATCTCTGGATAGCTACTTCTGATTTTATTCACTTCCAAATGCAGATTTCTGGTCCGTGACTTCCAGTATAATGAGGAAGAGATGAAAGCTGATAAAGAAGAAATGAATAGACTGTCAACCGACAAGAAGAAACAGTTTGTAAGTCTGTGCAGGCTAGTCATTACAGAAACCTAAAATGTCTAGGACTTGTTATTGCTACATAGCAATTTCACGAGCTTGTGATTCTGAGAGAGCATTGCAGGGATGACACATCACAGTCAGCCTGCCACCCGGTTAATCTTCTTGGGGATAAGTGCTGAACCAAGTGTTGTATTGCAGCTAAAAATATGTGAAATCTGAAAATTGGCAAACATTTGAATGAAATAATCAGATATTATTAAAATGGTCCTTTATACAGTTAGAGCATGACAAGTGGGATGATGTACTGAAGAGACAACAAGTCTTGTTACATTTATCTTTGCTTTGTGCAAAATCACCTTTGAGCCATTATGTCAATAGCAAACTATCTTTAATTCGTCTGTCACACTACAAACGTTGAGTATCTGCTTAAATGTGCTTAGTCGTCTGAAACTTTTTCTGAGGATTTTTTTCCCTTTTACAGGGGCCTCTGGTACGATGGCTGAAAGTTAATTTCAGTGAAGCTTTCATTGCATGGATTCATGTGAAAGCACTCCGAGTTTTTGTTGAATCTGTTCTAAGGTAATGAGACAGGCCTGAACAGAAAATTCTAGGAAGAAAAGTACATCTAGCTTTGCTTCACTTGCTTGAGTTTTGTTAATGCCACTCTTCCACAAAGTGGGGAACAGTGGAGTAGGGCAGCAAGAACAACTGTTGGCATAGCTCTTGTTGCCAGGTGTGGAGCATTTGTGGTAGATAACTTCCATCTCATTCCTTCAGTGCTTTAGGGGAGTTGTCTGTCCGTCATAGTAAGGTATTTCTGCTGTGTTTTTTAGCTTGCTTAATTGAGCTGCTTGTAAAAAGAGCTTACTATAGCTTGTGTTTAAGTGAGTAATGTAGATAGTTCAGAATAAAAAGTTTTGAGGCTTTGAGTAGCAGTGCAGTTTGACATCTTCAAATGTGTGCTAGTACACAGCAGTTCTTGTTCAGTATTTTATATGTAAGATTTCTTTGTTTTTTTCATAGCCATCCAGAAGCATAGCTAATGAGTTGACATTGCTGTAGTAGTTTAAACAGACCTGGTTTTTTTTCAGAATGGAAAGAACTTAGTCAGAAAACCAAAAGGTGTTTTTAAGTTGGTTTTGCTAAGAGTTGTTGTTAAGGATGCCTTCAGAGAAGGCCTTGCAATCTTGCAAACTTGCAGTCTGATTTGTTTTTCATAGCTGCTGCAGGCTTATTTTGAAGACGATCTTAAAGAAGACAGTTTGACTTAGTTTGAGTATTGGCAGATATTTCTGCACATCTAGAAAGGTGGGTGGAATAGAAACTGGATGCTCCACCTAGTGGTGTAAGGAAAGTCTTGCTAGTAAATTAATGGAAATGTTCAAAACTTCAGGTAATGTTTTGAGAATTTTGTAAAGCACTTGGATTTTAAAAGGATTTAGACATTTGTTATTTTAAGCTTGAAGAAAGAAGTTCTGCTTCATGTCTTACTATGTGTGATACAAACAGAGCGATTTTGCAGAAATAGAAATGAGCGGACTTTCCTCATCAGCAGTAGGATTCTTTCTCAATATAAAATACATTTCGTAGAAGAGAGCTTATTTCATCACTTTCATAGTTGTTTGCTTAACTTCTCCAGGTATGGTTTGCCGGTAAACTTCCAAGCAATGCTGCTTCAGCCTAACAAGAAAACAATGAAGAAACTGAGGGAGGTTTTGTATGATTTGTATAAACATCTTGACAGCAGTGCTGCAGCTATCATTGATGTAAGTGTTTTTGTAATTGCTTCTCTTAGATTAAGCAAAAAAAAAAAAGTTTACTATCTTCTTAAAAAGCTACATCTCTTCATTTTTATTTTTTTTCATGGTACAAAAAACTGTCTCCATATAAAAGTGCAGCTTCTGTCTTATGTTTTTGCAAAGGAGATAGTATGTAAAGTTGCACCCAATGTGTTTGAAGAGCTGTCCGGTGTAGAAGATCTGTTTCACTTCTTACTGCATTCTTTCCTGCTACCCATGGAAGGATGTCTTGCATATTGGATACATATTCACATTCTCAAAGACTTGAAAGAGAGTTTTGATCTGAAATTAGGCTTAGAAACTTGAATGCATTTCCTATCTTGTTTTTGATCCTTAAAGAAATATTTAAATTGTCCATTGTCCAAGCTAACAATGGCCTTAAAATACTGAAATGATCTTTTCTTTAGTTGCTAATTTGTATTTTTAAGTTCATGTCATTGTTCTTCTCTGCTAATGAAGTCTAAATCGTGCAGATAGTCATCTGTTCCACTTTCATATTTTATATTCTGTTTAAAACTGGTTTGTTGGGAGACTTATTGTACTACTTTAATTTTATATTGAAAAGCAGTGCTTTTCATAGTTAAAAATTGAGTAAAAATTATCACATGTTGAGTTCAGTTACAAAAGAAATTTTTTAGTTATATTTATTGTAATATTTTTTCCAAAATATTTCAAGGCAATTTAGTGGAGACAGGAATGTAAGATGATTGAAGTGAGAGTTGCTAAGCTTCATGTAGCTTCTTGGATCAGTACCCTGTAACATTATTTGTGTAAGCTGGCTGAGTTTAGTGGTAGTAGAACATAATTGGAGTCCTTTACCTTCCTCTTAGTGGTGGTGTGTTTACTAACGAAATGGATATGAATTATTGATGCAAAGCTACTTAGATTCTGGAAATTGTTGGTTCATTTTCTCAAAGTTAGAACTTTTTGTTACCTGATTTTCCATTTTCAAGTGAATGTTTAAGCTTGAAGTCTTGACTGTCTGATTGTCTTCTAAAAATATGAATGTTTAAATCATTTTCTGAATAGGAGCCCAAGTTGTAAGAATCTAACCAGCTTCAAAACTTATTTGCAGGCAACTATGGATATTCCGGGCTTAAACCTCAGCCAGCAGGAGTATTACCCGTATGTGTACTACAAGATTGATTGCAATTTACTGGAATTCAAGTAAAAATTCCCTAACGTGACAATCCTGTGTTGGTGTAAACAAACAGAAGTGAGGTTGAAGTTATACCTTTAACACTCTACTAATCATATGCTTGCTTCTTATGTTAGGTGAATTTTAACTGCAGTGGTCCATCTATAGACATTTTCTTTTTAAAGGAAAGTGTAGGTAATCTGCTTTTGAATAAACGTCTGTAAATGTATATTGAGAGAATTGAAATATTTATAAACAGAGTGATTTATTTAAGGGAAAGGTCATTCCTCTTTCATACGTGATCTGTGTTAATTCCATTCCCCGTTGTTTATTAAAAAAAAATTGTTTACAGAAGAATAGTGTAAATGTTTATGGCCATTTTGTTCATTTGATTTAGTAGATACACGTGTTAACATTGTTGAACTGTGATGTAAAGTATGTAAGATTGGTATGAAATTGTGCTTTCTGAATGTTGTAAAATTACAATCGAAGCACTGTAAGCACACAGGAAAAAATAAACAGACCTGTGCAAATGTGTCACTTTGTTGTACAACATCTAATTGCAGTTGGCCGTGTCTGAACTGAAACAGTGTGTTATGGCTTAAATCCAGTGCTGCATCCTGCCTGCATTGGTACAAAAATGCCATTGGCTGAAACACAAATACTGTTAAGAGTTGTAGGTATTTCTTTTACTTTGGGCAGAAATATGCAAGTGTGGTGACTGCTCACCAGGCCTGTGTGTGAATGTTTGTCTTATTTGTATCTTCATGACTCTCAGGATTTGAGATGGTTCTTCCACAAGTGAAGGTAAGATGGGATGCTAACAACCAATACTAATGTGATTTTTTTTTTTTATAATTTTGCATTTCTAGAATCATAGAACAGCCTGGGTTGAAAAGGACCACAATGATCATCGAGTTTCAACCCCCCTGCTATGTGCAGGGTCGCCAGCCATCAGACCAGGCTGCCCAGAGCCACATCCAGCCTGGCCTTGAATGCCTCCAGGGATGGGGCATCCACAGCCTCCTTGGGCAGCCTGTTCCAGTGTGTCACCACCCTCTGGGTAAAAAACTTCCTCCTACTATCTAACCTAAACCTCCCCTGTCTCAGTTTAAAACCATTCCCCCTTGTCCTGTCACTATTCCCCCTCATAA